TGTCTCTCTAAGGCCCAGTGAGCAGGACTACACTAGCCCTCCACCTCTCTGGACTGCTCCAATAGTTCTGTGTCTCTGTCTTCGTCTTTATCTAAGAATATTCAGGCATGCTCCTTTGCTTCAATAAGACCACAATCTCACTACCCCACACTCCCTCCTACCCCTCCCCCCGATCACCTTTTATCCCAAACTTCCCTGATCGAGAATCTAATCTCCACCTGAATAACACTGGAGAACTCCAGAGTCATAGAGCTGTACAGCACAGAAACAGACGCTTCGGCCCAACTCGTCCGTGCCGACCTGGATATCCGAAATTAATCCAGTCCCATTTGCCAGCGTTTGGCCCCATATCCCTCTAAACCCTTCCTATCCATGTCCCCATCCAGATGCCTTTTAAATGTTGAGACTGTACCAGCCCCCACCCACTTCCTCTGGCAGCTCGTTCCGCACACGCACCACCCTCTGTGTGAAAAAGTTACCCCCTCAGGTCCCTTTCCCCTCTCACCTTAAACCTATGCCCCTCTAGTTTTGGACACCACCCCCCCCCCCGCCCCCGCTACCCCTGGGGGTAAAGACCTTGTCTATTCACCCTATCCATGCCCCTCATGATTTTATAAACCTCTATAAGGTCACCCCCTCAGCCTCCGACGCTCCAGGGAAAATAGCCCCAGCCTCTCCCTGTAGCTCAAACCCTCCAACCCCGGCAACATCCTTGTAAATCTTTACTGAACCCTTTCAAGTTTCACAACGTCCTTCCTATAGCAGGGAGACCAGAATTGAACACAATATTCCAAAAGCGGCCGTAACCAATGTCCTGTACAGCCCCAACATGACCCTCCCAACTCCCTGTACTCAATAAAATGTGGAACTGGAGGAGCACAGCAGGTCAGACAGCAGAGGAGCAGGAATGTTGACATTTTGCGTCTGGACCCTTTTACAGTCCTCTCTGTCTCTTACACTCAACGCACTGACCCATAAAGGCGAGCGTACCAAACACTTTCTTCACCGCCCTGTCTACCTGTCACTCCACTTCCAAGGAACTATGTACCTGCTCCCCCCAAGGTCTCTCTGTTCAGCAACACTCCCCAGGACCTCACCGTTAAATGTATAAGTCCTGCCCTGATTTGCCTTTCCCAAAATGCAGCACCTCACAATGACCTAAATTAAACTCCATCTGCCACTCCTCGGCCCATTGGCCCATCTGATGGAGATCCCATTGTACTCCGAGGTAACCTTCTTTGCTGTCCACTACACCTCCAACTTTGGTGTCATCTGCAAACCTACTGACCATCCCTCCTTTGTTCACATCCAAAACATTGATATAAATGATGAAAAGCAGTGGACACAGCACCGATCCTTGTGGCACACCGCTGGTCACAGGCGTCCAGTCTGAAAAGCAATCCTCCAGCACCACCACCCTTCATCTTCTACCTTCGAGCCAGTTCTGTATCCAAACAGCTTGTTCTCCCTGTATTCCCTGTGATCTAACCTCGCTAACCAGTCTGCCATGAGGAACCCTGTCGAACGCCTTACTGAAGTCCATTTCGACAACGTCCAACCACTCTGCCTTCATCAACTTCTTTGTCACCTCTTCAAAATAACTCAGTCAAGTCAGTGAGACATGGTTTCCCACACACAAAGCCATGCTGACTCTCCCTAATCAGTCCCTGCCTTTCCAAATACATGTGAATCCTGTCCCTCAGGATTCCCTCCCACAACTTGCCCACCACCGATGTCAGGCTCACCGGTCTATGGTTCCCTGGCTTTTCCTTGCCACCTTCCTTTAAATAGTGACACCACATGAGCCAAATACTTCCAGGAAGAGAATCTGGTCAGCATGGACAGGTTGGACCATGTACAGGGCGTTGATGAGGCCACACCTTGAATGTCGTGTGAGGTTTCGGTCTCCTAATCTGAGAAGGGACATTCTCACTCCCGACGGAGTCCAGCGATGGTTCACCAGGCCAACTCCCAAGATGGCAGGGCTGACAGGTGAGGAACAACTGGATCGACTTGGTCTTGTACGTGCTGGAATTCAGAGGAATGAGGGGGAATCTCAGAAACCTTTGGAACCCTGATGGGACTGGACAGGCTGGACGCAAGAAGGATGTTCCCGATTCTGGGGACGTCCAGAACGAGGGGTCACGGTCTCAGAATGAGGGGTAAGCCGTTCAGGACTGAGATGAGGAAGAATTTCTTCTCCCAGAGAGCTATGTACCCCACAGGAAGCTGTTGGAACCAGTCAAGAGGGGGCCTTTGTGACTGGAGGGATTGAGGAGAGAAATCGGGAATGGGATACTGAGATTGCATGGTCAGCCATGATCATATCGAATGGTGATGCAGGCTCGAAAGGGCCGAATGGCCTACCCCTGCAGACATTTTATCTGTCTCTGTCCGTGCTATGAGACTCTACGACTCTCGGAAGTGCAGCAGAGTTCTCTAAACATCTGAAAATGTTTCAGAAAGAGGGTGACTGGACCTGAAACGCTAAGTCTGCTTTCTCACCACAGATGCTGCCAGTCCTGCCGACTTCCTCCAACAATTTCTGCTTTTATCGATCGCTACATGTCTAACAACTTCTCCTTTGTATCTCTTTCCTGTCCTCGCCCTGACACCCTGGCTGCATACTCACCATGATCAACAGCAAACCTCAACTTCTGTATAATGGCCAGGTTTCCACTCACTCGGTAAATACCATCCACATCCAATCCTGTGGGCAAGGCGGGGAGAAGTGAAGGACGCATGTTAATACACACCGAGAGAGAGAGAGAGAGAGACAGAGAGGGAGAGACAGAGACAGAGAGAGACAGACAGAGAGAGAGAGAAACAGAGACAGAGAGAGAGACAGAGAGGGAGAGAAAGAGAGAGAGGGGGCAGAGAGAGAGAGAGACAGGGACAGAGAGAGAGAAACAGAGACGGGGAGAGAGAGAGACAGAGAGAGAGAGACACGGAGAGAGAGAGAAAGAGAGACGGGAGAGACGGAGAGAGAGACACACAGGGAGAGAGAGAGAGACAGAGAGAGAAATGGAAAGAGAGAAACAGAAAGAGACAGAGACAGAGAGAGAGACAGAGACGGAGAGAGAGAGACAGAGAAAGAGAGACAGAGAGAGAGACAGACAGGAAGAGAGACAGAGGGAGAGAGGGAGAGACAGAGACAGGGAGAGAGAGAGAGAGACAGGG